GTTTTGAGTGTTGTGAAAGGAGGGCTATAGGTATATGTCATCACTGATGTCACTGCTGATGCAAAGCTAGGGAGGGGGTATCCTCTAGAGAGCCTGGTTGTCTTAGATTTGATTTACAAGGGAACGCCTATTCCCCCTGCGATGAGGCGGCCGAATACGTTGGCCTGCTGAAATATTCAAAACAGCCGGCACTGGGTGCTGAACTTGCGGACTATGGAGCTCTATTACCCCCCCCCCCCCCAACATCATCGTCGTATGTGTATTTGTATAAATATCTCTGTTACTAAAGTATGTATAAAATGTAATGATCCTTCAGTGTGAAATTGCACGAAATTCTCGAGCGTTAGAATTATTCAATAATAATACATATGCTATATCGGCTAACAAATTGAAGCAGCACGTCTCCAGATTAATGTTATTTTTCATAAAAAAATTTGGAAATGTATTTAAAAGTAAAATAATATGAGATGAACATATAAAATAATTTTCATATTGCAATTGGTACTTATAATCCAAGAAAATTAGCAAAAAGTGGCAACCTATGCAAAAACAGTCCTTACTGCGTTAGTAACGCAGTAGAAGTATGGTGATAAAATGTTGCAAAATCAGTGTTAAACATGTAAAATATAACTTGGATCTTGAATGTTTCTACCATTCTTAAAAGTCTAGTGCATTTTTCTCATTATTGATTTTCTTTAAACAGTTTAGCTCATCTGGAGGCGTGCAACTTCAAACACTAGGTCCTGAAATGTTTCCAATTTTCTTACAATAATACCTTTGAGTGTGAAAACCTGTCCATTGCTAGCAGGCGTATCACTTCCTGCTTTAGTTCAATCCCCGCACAATGATTCAGAACATATCAGCCGGCATGATCATGTTTAGTTGCCGTTATGATGCCAACTCCAGACTCTGTACTAGATATTCGCAACTGTTTATAATTATATATTTCGAAAGAAACGTTTTTTTCCAAATTTTCTAAAAAAAATATGTACAATATCTTTAATCTACCTTGTAACATTAACAGATATGTTACATATCATGAACGTAGAAATTACAGTCGCCACAAACTGGCTTCAGTAAATATAATTGTATTGTTTGTGATATGGATATGTTGTTACCCAACCCTTAATTGTAACACTTGTCACCATAGTCAATGTGTGCACCGCGTATGTATAGGTTGAAATTCGCACATTTATACGTGCATTCTACACAACCTTTGTGAATTACATTACTCGGCCAACCATAGAGCAGTTGTTTAGTAAACTGTATCCCGCAGTTGGTGCAATAGATGAACATCATACCAACTATTACAACCAATAGATAAGCCACAAGAACAATTCTATTCTTGATACTGTGACTTCCACGCTATCAACACACAAGTATATTGTCGACCTTTGCTTAATTATAACACTCGAGATTTCGTGCAAAACATTTACGTTGAGTCCTGCTACCACTACATGAACCAACACTTACAAGTATATCTTGAAAACATCGCTTCTTGGTCATTGGTTGAAAAATTAACACTACAATAAAGTATATAAATGAAGAAACTTGTTATTTTTCGATTGTTTGTTTGTTTGTTTTTATTGGGTCTTCATATAAATTATGGTTACATTGTATCAATCTTTAATGTGTCGATGATTGAAAGAAATACACTTAACGCAACTTATAAGTACTCCGATTTCAAACTTGCAGGAAAACTCCGGTTTTCAAAATATATTCCAAATCAATGTTGAAAATGTGTACTGATTCTACTTTCCGACTGCATGAATGATTTTAAAACAAAATCAATCATCCGAAACGCAATATGGCGGTCACATGCAAAAACCCGAAAACGGGCACGTGCATTTCGTGCAAGATGCCCACATTGTGTATTTTGATGCAAATTGTTAGTTTATTGATGTGCCTAACATAAAAGCACAAAATGGCCCGAATGTCGCTGCAACAAAGAGGAATTGCCATTGGGCTATTACAGGGCGGCGCATCGCACGCAGAGGTATGAATTTTAAACACGCAGTTTTGTTTATTTATTGCGCTTTTTCAAAATATACTTTTGCTGGTTTGTTGTGTATCGAATTTCTTGACATTGATATCATTTATTTTATCTAGGTAGCCCGTGCAATGCATGTACAGAAGAGAAGCATTACTAAGCTCCTAGCTAAATACAGACGGACCGGAAGTATCGCCAATCTCCCGAGACGGCCACGTGGTAGAGCAACAACACGTGCTCAAGATAGAGTCATTGTTTTAACACATCTACGTCAGCGGAGGTGCACATCGGTTAAGTTTGAGTTATTGTAAAACGCATTTACTATTATAAAATGATGATACTATGATTAAAGTTTATACTGTATCGACTTAGACTAGTTATAGTAATTCTAACACAATATAATAAAAAATTGGTCGGAGTACTTATAAGTTTCGTTTAGTGTACTTTAACTAGCATATATACTTAAGGACAATGAAAACGCACGGTCAGGATAATGGCATTTTAACAAGGAAAATATATTTCTTTTAAATATTTGTTCATAAAACCAAATGTATTCCGGTCATTTTGATACCAAAGTTATGACAATTGATTGCATTTTAATGAAGTTATTGCATAATAAAGACAGTACCCGAAATATCAAAAGTGACACTTTTGGCTAATTGTGATAAGATCACAACGGAAAACAAATACTTACTTAATGAAATGAAATTATTTTTTTTTTTAAACTGATAATTATTAACTTGTTTTTCACAAATTTCTAGAAATGTTAGACACAAATGAGCAATTAAAATCTTTATGAAAATGAATATTAAACTATGCCAATGGTCAGTTTTAGAAATCGTAAAAGCTCACATAGACATTGCACATAAACACTTAAAATCCTCTATAAAAGGTGCTAAATTTCAAACACTACTGAAGACTTGCTAGCAAATTGTACGCAATGGTTCTACAAAGAAATAACCGCTGGGTAGATTTAGCACAGATTCGGTCTTGTCTATCTTACAAACAAAGCGCAAACCGTTTTGGTGTCCATCGGTCTACAATTTCTCGGCTTCACCCGCGTTTTTACACGACACTACAGGCCGAATGGCGTCATATTCCACAGGCGACTATCCGCACCGTATGGTCTATGAGGCGACGATGTACATCTGTACGAGACGCTGATGGAGGACATTGTTGTTTTTTTAAGATCCCGACGGTGGCATTACGAATAGACATTTATGAGTGACTTTGTTTTGGATTTTCATTTTGGTTTTTGCCTTAGTTAAGTTTGCATTATTGTCATGAAAAAGTGTGATTTTGGGATTTTCACCTTAGGTTCTTCGTTTTACTGGTGTACATTAGATTTTAAACATTTTGATTTATTTTCAGTTGTTAAGTTTGAGTTTTGTATTAAAGTTATGATATATATCTAATGGAGTCGATAGTGTTTTGTTTTTATGTAATTAAATGCATTTAGTGCGGGCGTGCGTTTTCATTGTCCTTAAGTATACATGTAAACCCGATATATTACAGTTTTGTTGATTTTTTTTATCATTTATGTTTTGAGAAAATCCCCAATTTATTCCGTTTAACGAAGTCCGTTTACGAAGCCCGTTTAAGATAGAAAAGTCTAAAAGTATATTTCTTACAAAGAATGGAATTCAGAATAAAATTAATAATACTTTCAATCTGTTCAATGACTTTTTAAAAATATATACATTCAATAATGCATCACCCTTATACATTTAACTTACAGGTTTACAGAAGAGAAAAATGAAAAGTTACATGACAAACTATAAAAAAAATATTTTGAAAGTATTAACCATAATGATAATAATAATGTGCATAATTGCAGAATATTTTCATAACCTGAGGTATTCATACCCTTGTCTTTCTTACCACTACGTTACTTGAATTAACGTGTCCATACTCACTTTAATTCTTCTATATTTTAATTAATAAAAATGCAAAATGTAACAATTGAGTAACTTGCACAACCTGTTATGTCATAATGGTATGACCGAATTATGTAAACGTCATCGTGTTCGACTTAAACATGTTACATTGTTTATCTACATACACACCAAGTTATAATTAGAATGTTCACGTTTTTCGTTTTGCACGGGAATGTCGTGCCTCATATAAGAGTTGATATTCTTAAAGAGGTCCATCCGAGCAGGATGTAATTTAAAAATTGAACTTATGCACCGGTCAGCCCCGAACATTATACTGATTAAAAAAAAATCAAAACTTTAGTCAATGCCACTACCCGTGGGCACGTGATATTATGCCCGCTTAACGCCTCACACTGAACGCTTGACGAATCCACAGTATTGAGACTGGCGTAAGATATATTCTAAGCTTATTGCCTTTAAATATCCGAAAGCTCATCCGAAGGAGAGCTATGGACTAGTCATTTAGGTGTATGCCTCTCAATCCAGGGATCATGGGTTCGAGCCCTCATCGGTTTATGAAAATGTTTTCTTCATATGGTACCAGTACTGGTTGTTTCCAGGACGCGGATTCGAAAGTGAATAATATAAGTTGAAAGAACTTGCTTCACAATCGAGCCTAAATAAATATGTTAAAACCAAAGCTTCTCCGGGGATAGGACGTTTATACAGTAACTATAAACTGGTGTTTTATACATGTTTGTTGCAGTCAAAAAACTATGTTTTGGTGACTGTTGAAACAAACCAATGCTGATGAAACTAAAATAACCAAAATTTGCCAACACGAACAGTTTATCATTATAGATGTACCCTTTTAGAGTCAGTTAAAACAAAGACACTTACCTGAAAATCACAATTTTAGTAGCTCGAATTGTTAAATAGATTGCATTTGAACAACAATTAGAATTGTGTTAATGAATATCTACCAAAGAGACTAGTTGTCAGTCCCTGTTATCCTGTCTATCGAAAAAGTTGTATATTATTTTGGACGTAAGAATTATTTCAAAATTATTTTTCTATACAAAAAGACACCTTTAAGTTTTTTATTCGTCCGGGCCTCATTTCATGTAACAACTGATATAAATACTAGCACATACTGTGACATCTTCACTATTCTTCTTGGACAGACGACATTAGAGGAAATAATGCAGCTTCAAGTTTTCATTCCTTTGTGCGTGGTTTTCTTGTGCGTTGTTGATAGCCGCAGTACGGATTTTCAACGACGTCGTTTTCTTCAAGGTTTGGATTTGTATTGCTTTTTAAAGGGACTCAATTAAGATTTTTGAAGATGACGGAACTAGAAATATTTTACTATACTGTCGTATAATAATTTTAACACAAGGCTTGTTTATTGGAAAGTTCTCGTTAATGATTCATGTTAATTATACATGTATATACATAAAAAATGTTGGATGTAAGGCTTTGACCAGGTCTAGTATATCGCCAGATAAGTGCATAATGCACAAATTGGTGTATACATATTTAATCATACACCGATCGGTGTTTAAATATTTTGATATATATGTGTTTTTGTAAATTATTTATGATCATGTTTTTGGCACCTGCATTGGTAATAGTCTGTTTTATTGACAAAGAATAAACAAAACTTCTGATCTAAATGAACTTTAGGAGATTTTAATTTTTCATTGACAGGAAAGCAAAAAAAATGTTGACCATTTCCAAATTGTTGATACACCAATTAGTTCATCATGCAGATTTTTTTTAAAAGTGCAAGAATTTCCAGTATTTCTATGAATATTATCTAAAGTAAGTGCAGGTGCCACAATTCACACTGCTATATTTACAAAAATAAAGATTTGCATGGTTGTCTGGTACACCAATATGTGCATCATGAAATACACCAATTAGTGCATCATACACATACTGGTGCATTATGCACTAATCTGGTGATATACTAGACCTGTTGACTGGGAGGTAAATATAAAATGATAAATTGATAGCATAAATATATAGCAAAATAAATGAATTTTAAAACTCCTTCAGTAGATTATATCAAATTTATTATTTCATTTTATAAACAATATCCAGTTAAATTAATTAAAATTTATTTCCTTACTTCAGTATACATGATACTATCTGGATTATATCCACTGGCCCGAAATGAATTCTTGACACTTTATTCATTTAAAAGACGGAATCATTGTTACTAGTCTGCCAACTTAAGGCTGTTAGGTTATTAGACTGCCAACTTCAGGTTGCTATGTTGCCATCTTGGGCTGCTAGGCTGCCAACCTGTTTCAGTTTAAAACAATTATAATGTCATGTATATTATTAGAAATAAGAGCACTCAGCGGGTCTCTGGAAGTGACGACCGAGGAGCCCACTCCCACAGAGAGCTACCCGTCTTCCCCAGATAATGAGGTTCCTGATGTCGACATTCCAGAAATTGATTACGAAAACTGGCCATACGCAATGATGGAATGTAAGTTAATTATCATTAAAAGGTACAGAAAATTTTTATTTAAATTTTATAAAGTAGACCATACAAATCGCATGTTTGAGATATAAAAACATCTATGAAATACAACTTTTCTTTAGGTAACATCAAATCAAATTCTTGTTCGTTGGATAGAAAATCAATTTTACCAACCGAGCCTAAAGAACTCGAGCCAGCTAAAATGTTGTCCTGCGTCTCCATTTGAAAGTTGAATAGAATAGAGCTATATCTAATGAAGTATCATTTAATATTGGGTAAGACGGGAAAATCATTAGTCCTATAATATTGTGGTCTATTCACAATGTTTGTAGCATATAAATTGTTTATTACCAAGTGTGAATATTGTACGTAAAACAGAAATAAAACGTTCCACTAGCTCGGTTTTCTGAAAATCAGAAGAAAAACAAAACCAAATTTAGTGTTCTTCTCCTAGAGAAACCGATAAATACATTACCCGTGTCAATTTAGACAGTTTCGAATGACGGATATACCAACTTATTCTTTTAAATTCATTCCTGCTCTTCCAGCACCTAATGTTCATCTTGTTCTTTTCACAAATCAACAAAAAACATAATTTGCAATTTGTAATATTTATCAGCATATCAGCATAGTTTATTTATATGCAAGACAATTTTAGACATACTTGCATCTCATCTATCTTCAAAACAGTTAGGGACATTGGAAAACTAATGAAACTCATTGGTTCTACTCGGGTGCCCGTTTTTCGGTTTTTCGGTTATCTATTGACCGGAGGGTCACAGTTTGGTTACAAACATATATACATGTTTAGTAGGAAGTTTTCATATGTCCTTAATATGTACAAACATACACATGTATTTATGCATAGGTATGTAACGGAAGTACTTCTTTACGTCTCTTGAGAATCGATAGTAAGATTATAGAAAACGGCATAATTTCCAGTTTGTAAATGTTATAAAATAGTTTAACTATCACTATATTAAATTAGGGTCAACGTGACAAGAAATAAGGAGGACTAATTAACTTTACTTTACAATATTTAGTTACAAGTCTGATTGGTAGATGTATAACATCACGAGCCATAGCCCAGATGATGCCCAACAGACGTAAGTTATTGTTATAAATATTACTTCCAAACATTTCATTAGCTTATGTTTGCCAACCATTATGATCGCTTAGATCTAATGTCTTTGTATCAGACATAACAACCGGCCACGAAATAATTATATATGGTTATTGTTGGCAATTGGGGTACATGGTTTGATATAACATATTATTTATATAGCTGCTAATAAATTATAATAGACCAAATAATGCAAAATATTATACTCCGATGCAAAAGAAAGTGTGCACTTAGCCACTGAACACACATTTTCTGTTCCTATCATTTTATTGAAATTTGATATCAAAAAGTTGCGCATTTAGTTTATGCGTTCTTGTGGTTTTGAATATTTAAGGACCACAATTGCAGCCGACTCCATGGATAACACGCGTAAGTTTGTCACCTAATTTAAAACTTAGCATTGAAACCACAATTCCCTCGCAAATTATATGTAACATAAATTCGGTTATGATAAAAAATGAATTAAAACTAAAAACATTGCATAATTTTGTTTCTGCAAATTTTGATACCAAATAATAATGGCCATATTTGCTCCATTATGATTGAGAATTTGCAAGTAACGGAAATGCACACTTTATTTTGCAATTGAGTATATTTGTTCATACTTAATTACCTAGCACTTTATCAACACGTTTTTTTTTTCAAGAAATATCTTATAATAATATACAAATGGTATATTTCAATTGTTTATCATTATGTAAAGTACTTGTGGAAAACGTGCATATTAAAGACCAGTCTGATTCAGTACATAAAGCACTGATACTTGTAATCTGTAACATTGGTGCTTGTTAAAAAAACAGTCCTTAATGTGCTTGTAATTTGCATTTGTGTACCAAATGATTATACATATAAATGTGTATTGTGTATACTCTGTTACAGCTCGAAACAAATTTCTGACTGAATCTTGCCCACTTATATTACAAGAGCTCAAATCTGTAAGTAGGATGGGTTTTTTTTGACACAATTCGGGTCACTCACTTAAATATTTTTTAGAAATTGTTGTAAATAGATTGTATCGAGATAAAAATTGCCGCGCTATTTACCTATTTAACGATATTTTCATATAACTGTGGACATACATATTTTCAGTGTTTGTCAATATTAAGTTTGAAAATGTGGCCTTAAACATGAATATTTAACAATGCTCTATGAATTATACATATGACGCAATAACATCCGAAGTTAGCCAAAATCATATTTCCTGTTTCAAAGCCATTTGACCTAAATTGTGTGGGTAAAATTGTGTAAAACCAAACAAAACGCAAGACGCAAAAAAGTATTTCCATAGGTATCGAATACCGGTATACATGCAATGTTTTCATTCGTAAGTTTGAAATAAAGATTTTGTATTATTTTCATATCTTTTACAGGAGTTGAAGGAAAGCGTTAAAGACGAAATAGAGGAATTTGGTGAAGAGCATTTCGGTGTTTTACAATGTAAGTAGTGAACTTCTTACCTAAAATGCATGTACATTATAAATTATGGTAATAAAGTTCGAGATGACGATTTATTGTTACACGAGATTTAACATTTCCAGTTAACAATTTTGTGATATTTAATATTTAAATTGGGTTTGCTACCAACATAAAGGGCATTTGATTAACTATAATCTAGCTTGTTTTCTTGTTTTGTTAACGATTGGTATTGATTCATGCCTTTATTAATTAACTGATAATGAATTTAGATATTCATGCCTTTATTAATTAACTGATAATGAATTTAGATATTCATGCCTTTATTAATTAACTGATAATGAATTTAGATAAAAAAAATATGTGTTTCTGTTTGTACGGTATAGGTGTGAACCTTCTTGCTGAGAGGGAAAATGTGGAATCTGTTCTTAAAATGTCGTCTCGTCCAAAAAAGACTAGGCCTTTTAGTCCACCAGGTAAAAAACATTGATATATATTTGCATATTGTTTGATGCAATTGATTTTTGAAGTAGTTACTAGTAAATAAAGTATATACCCGTAGCAATTCATTTTAAGACGACCATAAAAATGTTTGTTCAAAATCATAATTGAAATGCACTATTATTAAAATCCATTCGAAACTTTAATCAATAATAATATGAAATACGTTTTCGCGTGAACATAAATTTGAAAGGCATCACTTTACTTACCCTTTAAGTTACTAAATGTACTCAGTGTTTCGAATTCGCAATTTCCCAATTCCATTGCAGGACTGGGAGCTGAATCTACACCAAAAAGTGAGTGGTCAATCGAAGAAATGTCAAGTGTTCTGTTTGAGGAGGCGAAAGATCTATATGAATTGTGTGAGAGAACATTATCTGACGCTATTCAATCTCCAGAAGACTTAGAGAAAGAAACAAAACCTGGAAAACGTTTTCTTGGGGCACTTACCGGTATTCCTCTTGCATTTTTGGTAAGCTTAATTGAAGATTGTTTTATAGACCATATTTTTATGCTCTTCGGCAAATAGTAATTGAACTATCCGTCTGTACGAGGTTTACCGAAAACGGCAAGTTGAATTTTTAAGTTCTGTCTGTACTATTGAAGCTTTACACACAACTACCCAATACGAAGTACATGGTCTTGGTAAATAACGTAACTATAGCTCCTTTCTTTTTTGGCAAGTTATTGACCTCTCCAACGCTTTGAAATTCGATCCGGTTAACATAATCCGGCAAGTTGAATATATCTTAAGTTCTGTCTACACTAATGACTTCATAATTTCTACACTAACCAATCAATACAAAATACATGATGCTGCCAAGTTATATAACTATGCCATCATTTCTTCTAGTTATTTTCCATCCCTTTGAAAATAGGGCTATGTATGGTTAACCTGTTCCGGCAAGTTAGATTATGTTTAACTTCTCCTAATTACTCATATAATCTATATTTGGTATGGTCAAGAGCACCAGTGCTGAAAATTAGATTTTTACATTGCCCGTACAGCCTTTATTTATTGACAGCTATCTTCAAGTTGGCAAGAAGATAACTTGCATAGAATTCTTCCTTTTGATTGACTTAGGGGCTAGTGGGTCAAGGTCAATGGTATCAATATATTTTAAACCTTGGCTTATATATTTTGCGTAAGGTTTTCATATTTGGTATGCAGATTACTTGCACGGTCTTCTTCCTTTGGATTGAGTTAAGGGTCAGTGGGTCAAGATCAGTGGTGCTAAACATATATTTTTACAAATTCGCTTATACAGTCTTAATTCATAGACTGCATGTTTTCCATATTTGGAAGGAAGAAACCTTGGTCCAGTTTAGGGAGTCACAAAGTCAAGATCATTTGTGGTGCTCATAATAGATGTTTTACACATTTTTACATATCCTTTGTATAATTTTACCAATGTCTCAAGTTTACAAGGAACAAGCCTAACGTGGTTCTTTAAGTTTGGACGAGTTTGGGGTCACTGGGGTCAAGGTCAAGATCTTATATTTATAAGTATTTGATCAAGTTTGTTGAATATTTTTCATCTTCACCACAAGTCATAACAATGATATATTTTTCACAATTACAAAACGTCATAACCGTCAAGTTATAAAATGTAATGTGTTTTTTCACAATTTAGGCAATTTCACTGTATACCTTTAGTGCAAAACTTTAACTGACAGGAATCTGAGCCGCAGGCAAACGCATGCTTGTTTTTTTATTTTTTGTGCACGAGTGTATTAAAACTTGATCAGTTATACAAACGTAAGAATGTTGTTGTTGTTTTGAATATTATACATGGATTACAAGGACTATGTATTATCTGATTTCAGATATGGTTTGGATAAAACGATCACCGTTTATAAAGTTTCGAATGTCGCCTTCATCGTCGTCGTTACATGTTCTATGAGAATAAAATATTTAAAATCACTTTCAATTTTTTGACTTTATTGTTATTTACCATAGTGACAGAATGATATGACTAAACTTTTTTTTATCTAGAATCACTTTGTTGGTGAAATTATCGAAAATAATCTCTGGCTAATCTGTTGCTCCTAGATATCATTGCGAAACTTGCAAAACTTGATTTAGTAAGAAAGAATATTCGGAAACCAATATATTTGGATTCAAAAGAATTATTCAAATCCAATTAAAGCAGCACGCCTTCAGATTAATGTTAATTTTCATAAAAAAAAAATGAAATGTATTTAAAAGTAAAATAATGTGAATAGAAAAAATAAAATAATTTACATATTGCCCACGGCACTTACAATCCAAGAAAATTACAAAATAGTGGTCAGCATATTCAAAAACAGCCCTTACTGCGTTAGTAACGCAGTAGAAATATTGTGATAAAATACTGCAGTCAGTCTTAAATTGCACATAGCATGTAAAATTTAACTTGGATTTTGAATGATTTTACCTTAACATTTGAGTACATTTTTCTCAATATTTATTTTCTTGAAATATTTTGGCTCATCTGGAGGCGTGCAGCTTTAAAATCAAGTACATTTGTATCAGCACGAAACGTAATTAATCACAATTTGCAAGAATAATGCAGATATTTTCCGGAACTCGGCAAATGTGGGTTTTTATTTCATAAATAAAAACTTACCTGGAATAACAGTATGAATACTCTTTTTCTGATCCGCATAATAAACTTTCTCCCGGAAGTTGATAAACTTTTCGTGAGGCGCATGCGCACTCTCGGCAAGTTATCTACTTCCTCCTCTCCCAGTAAACGTCAGTTCTCTTTTTCTTGCGAAAGTATTCGCTTCGTCCGCGGTTAATTTTTAGTTTTGATTAGTTTCTTTAGTGGAAATTAGTTTCTCTACTTGAGATTTATCCAGTTTTGTCTTATGGCGACGTGTCATCAGGCAGAAGAGGGTGAAATTACGTCTGAAAACGACAGATTTTCTGACGAGCCTCATGACGAGAATATGGCGTCGCCAACACGTGGAGATCTATCGAGTAGAAATGACACCGTTTCTTACGTGTCGGCAGGAGAAAATACTGCTAATAAATTGCTATTGACTAAAGACAAAGGCAAAAAGAAAAGTCGTTCGAAAAAATACGACGAATTGAGCAACAGAATGTGTAATATGGAAAAAATGTTGCAAACTTTTTTAGATAAACAATCCGGTGAAAAAAAATGAACAAACTGTGACAAATCAGTTAAATGATGATACTAATGGACAAAGAAAAAAGTCAAATTCTAAAGGAAATCGTGACAAATTTTTATTTGACTCCAGTGAAGATGATTCTGACTCTGACATGTTGTCAATTTTTGCTGGCGGTCAAATTTCTCCTGCTCATGAAAATAATGATAGCGCCATGTTTGGACAAAAACAACAATAGGGAGGAAAATGTGGA